TTTATGTTCAATTGCCTTCGCCTTAAATTGCTCAGTACTACAAAGTGATGAAGTCCTATTGAAATAATTTCAGTAATATATAGTTCACCAGGCATTATTTTTCCACTTTTTTTTGAGTCTCAATATCAAGGTAGTAGCAGCTTTGATAAATACATGAGAAGTTTCTATTTCTTCGATTAGAACACTAACATCGTCACTGTATTCGACGATATCATCTGAAAAGCATTGGTAACGTCCGCCCGTTGAATTTGCAAGTGTTCTAAGGGAGAGTAGAAACAGTATTCTTTTATTAAAACAGTTAAAAAACAATGAGTTATTCGAACAAAATTGCGCTGACCCATTCTCTTTATTTAATTGACCCAAACATTAATTCGACATTTGCATTTCAAATTTAACCGACAATAACTGGAAAAAAGATCATTATTTTCTTTGTTTTAAATGGTACTTTGATGGTCTAGGGACTTCACTTAATTTCTTGTTAATAAACAGACAACGTTTTCCACCACCATTACGAAACTCACGTGTTTTTACTATGTCAATCTTTATAAAGCGCTTAAAGACGTTCTAGTATTGGCTGGTTTTAATTTGAAATTGGTTCAACTTTTAATTTAGCGATTGAAACATGAATAGTTAACATTCACTACGTTGGGATTGAATTCTTTTCATGCTTTCCTCGCAAATTTCTAGTTAGTATCCCAAGAGCACTATGAACCCTTATTTACTGCATATATTCTTTCAGTGGGTGCTTTTGATTCATTTTGTGAGTCTTACATCATTGCTACGGGGTGTGCAATAGACTTACCTCCACGTGGTGTACCCTGGGCAACGTATATTCATACAGGAAAAAGTCAACTATTCGGCATTTGACTTTTGATTTCATACTACCATCACCCCACTTTTTGCCATATTCTACCACTTCCACAGTACTGACAATGCATTTTCTCTGCCATTGTGTCTGTCTGTCTCTTTTACATCCGTGGATCACTCTTCTATTCCCTCACTCAACATTGTGTGACTTTGCCTGTTCCTCCTCTCAACTAAAGGGCTAATGTTGACCATCCAAACGCCTGCTATTTGAGACAAATAAATAGCATCATTGCTATTGAAACCTCTGAGAGTAAATTTGAAAGGTAGCAATTTGCTTTCCTCACTTCAATAATTCTTCATCTGCCATGTAATCCGATTCGTCGTCTATTGGCTGACTCACCGAGTATAATGAAACATGAAGAGCAATAGATAGCTTCATTTTCAGCTGTTCCAGATATTCATATAGCTGGTCATAATTCTGATCCGGGTTACCACTTGTTAGGAGATAAACGCCAACTGTCTCCTTGTTACAATCGTTCAGTGTCCTATCGGTCAGTCTAAACATGTATGGACTTCGAAATACACACACTTCGATAATGAATTAACAAATAAATACCTTTTAAATGCAAACAACTGATAAACAAATGGTTTCATTTCAGTTAATATGTATGTGATATAATTCATAACTTACCGCAAAGCCGCCATAACATTTCTTGTGCCTGCACAGCCACGTTCCTTAAACCACAACCAGGCTCTTTGCAGATTTTCTCTATTAACTTCAACCATCGTCTTTTCAAATGATTCCACAGCACTCCCAATTGTGATAATGTTGAAGAACTTGACAAATTTTACAATCTGACTTTCAATTAGCTGTTTTACAAATGATTGAATATTTGACAGCATTGACTCATTGTGAAAGGATAAATCAATGACAACTATAGCATTTTCTTCAACCAGAGTTCCGAAAGGACGATAAGTTGGGAGTTGAAGCCAAAACAATCGCTTTTCAATAAGTCCAATCTAGGAGGAGAAGTAGAGCTGTCATTAATCAAGTATGGACAATTGAAATAGATTTTTTCAATATGGACAAAATGTTGATTGCAAACCAATGAGTAAAGATTGTCCTCTTACATGTTTGTTTAGGCAACTCAGGTAATTTTTTAGAAGTGGGATCTTGATGTTAACATTTTTGATAGAATGGTCTGGCCATTCCAGTTGAACCATGGCCTCAGTGTAGGTCTTTCCACTAACTTCTTTGCCAATTGATGGAACAAATGTGCTTGTCTTTGTCATTGCATACGGAGTAAGCATCTGTATTATAAGCAGGCAACGGTTTGGCATATTAAACTTTCTCATTAGAGTTTCAAAATAAATAACGCACGGATGATAGAGAGTTAAAAGCAGAAAGTGCCGAAAAAATTAATGATATGTGAAATTCTATAAATTAAACCAACTTGGTAAAAGTCTAGACGCTTAGCCTTTAGTCCATGATGATTAATCCAGTCCAGTGAAGTTCTTGGAAGAAATGAAATACTTGATTGGTCATCAGTTTCTACGAATTCGAGAATGTCACCATCTTCTTCCACACCCCAGGGATTTTTAAGTAAATACTCCAAATTGATTTTTCTCCCATTTTCTAGTTCTAGACGAAATATTTGTACCTCATTTGCAAGTTTCTTAAAGTAATGAACAAAAATGAAATCGTACACAATATGAATCAAGACTATTTTAACGTTTCTTAAATATATAATTAATTTAAATAAAGGTTAGTTAGTTTATTTAGTTTAGTATAAAATTATATAAATCACAAGCCTTAGCTTCGAGTAATTCCATTCTAAGCGCTAGCATATCATCTCCAGTCCAAATAAGTTCCTCCTTCAGAGATGAATAAACGTGAAGGCTGATTCGTTTCGGATTGACTTCGGTCAGTTGTCGTAGAGTTTCCAGCACTCGGGTATCTTGAGAATCAAAACTGACAAAGTGGAAGAAAATATTGGGATTGAGAACATCGACAAGTTCAAGATATTCCATCAGCAAATAACTCAGTTGATCTGGAAGGCTTCCAACGATAATGATAATCTCTTCCAGATCGTGCACTTTGGCTATTCGCAACATCTAAAGAAGACTAGATTACATTACCCGTGGCATAATAGATTATAATAGCCAAAATGTGCGGTCAACTACGAACAATTGATTGAATCTAGAACAGTAATCAAGTCAGAGGATCTTTATAAGGGCTTAGTTATTATTTATATCAAATGGCAGGCGTCTTGATGGTTATCATTAGCCCTTTAGTTGACTTCAGGCTTCACAGAGAGGAAGCTACATCAAATTTAAAAAAAGTCGAGAGGAGGGGGGGGGGAACAGTAGAGTGTTTCAAATATGTAAAAGAGACAGGCACAATGATAGAGGGTAGGGTAAGGTGAATACTGTAGAAGTGGTCAACTATGACATACAGTGAGGTCATGGTAGCTTGAATTCAGAAGTCAACTGCCGAATAATAGACCTTTTTGCCGTATGAGTATACGTTACCCAGAGTGCACCACGTGGAGGTAGGTCTATCGCACACCCCTTGGCTTTATTATTATACTGTGCTTTTAAAGTAACGTATCCTATTCATTGATACTTTATTTATTACTTTATATCAAATGGCTGGCGTTTTGATAGTTATCATTAGCCCCTTTGTTGACTTCGGGCTTCACAGAGGGGAGGAGCGTCAAAGTCGCCAAAAGTCTAGAGAGGGGAACAGAAGGGTGATTCACAGATGCTAAAGAGATGGACAGACACAAGGGTAGAGAAAAAGGCAAGGTGAGGTGAGAACTGTGAAAGTGTTTGAATATGACATAGAGTCGGGTCATGGTAGTTTGAAAGAAGAAGTTAATTGCCGATTTATAGACTTTTTTGTCGTATGAGTATGCGTTGCCTAGGGTGCATCATGTGAAATCAAGTCCATTGCCGCGTCTCATTTAGAGATACTAATTGGTAAAAATGTGATGAAATCGCCTTCTTTACTCTTTAATTCAAAATATTAGGCTTGGTAATTAGAACTCGGACATTTATAGAGCGCTTTATTTTAAACTGTTATTTATTTTAATTCATATATGATAATCTGTAAACTGTTTTCTTCCACTTCAACTCTTTTCAGTTGTTTTTGCAATTCTTCCGATCTCCTTTATGAAAAATTTTACTATTTGTTAATTAAACCCCCCTCCCCCCCCCAATCAAGCGCTTTTCCACTTCAGCTGCATTTCGAAATCCCATTTTACTTTGAGTATACTCAGTGAGTTTGAAAAGTGATGAAGAGTTGAGGCGAGGTCTGATGAAATTGGGGGATGTAATGGAACTACTCGCTTTAATTCCTGAAATTATTGTGAGGGAGGGAGGGAGGAGGGGGGGGGAGGGGGTGGGTGGAGGAAGCCATTGTCTTGTTGAACAATTATCCATTTTCTGTTATATATATTTAGTAGTTTGACTTTTAATCTCTGGTCTAGTTTTCCCAGTTGTTGACAATACCAACTCTGCCTGTAACTGTTTCGCCTGACTTATTCTTCATGTATCCCAGGAAATTTGTGGAACAAGTTTCCGATGGGTTAATCCCCCCCCCCCCACCCTTGACCCAGATGACGGGACAGAATGGGCATTTTTAAGCCAATACTGTCGTAAGAATAAACAATGTTGACAATTCTTGTTTGAAACTAGATTTCTCGTTCAGAGTGGTTTTAAGGGGATTCATATTAAAATTCAGGCTGAAAAAATTTACGACTTTTTATTATTTCTTCTGAGATGACAAAAATATTCGATCATATTTCCCCTGTCACAATTATTGCCAATTTACTCTATTCCGAATATAATATTTTGCTAGCATGCTTTGTTTCTCAAAAAAATTAAATGATTGGTTTAGAGTTTATGCTCATTTAAGTACTTATTGTTTCATGATGTTGTTTATGTGTGTTCTTTTGTTCACTTCTCCACACAGCTTGCATGCGCATAATGACCTTGTTGATAAAAATGACACTTATTACACTGCCCTAATCCAATTAATTGTCACCACAATGCTGTTTTGAAGACAAAATTTGGATAATTTTCGTCCTACAAATTTAATCCTCTCAACACCAGTAACAATAGCAATTATATTCTCTTTTATTGCATTAGTGAAGTTATTGCTTCAAGGTTCCTACGCACAGATCTGACGAAAACGTTAAATTAAGTAATGTTTATTTATTTATTATTTACGTCAAATGGCAGGCTTCTTAATGGTTATCATTAGCCCTTTAGTTGACTTCAGGCTTCACAGAGAGGAAGCTACATCAAATTTAAAAAAAGTCGAGAGGAGGGGGGGGGGAACAGTAGAGTGTTTCAAATATGTAAAAGAGGCAGACACAAAGGTAGAAAAAAAGGTGAGGTGAGTACTATGGAAGTAGTCGAATATGATATGTGAGGTGATGGTAGTTTGAAGTGAGAAGTCAACTGCTGGTTAATAGACTTTTTTGCCGTATGAGTATACGTTGCTCAGGAAGCACCACGCGAAGGTAAGTCTATCGCACACCCCATAAGAGCATAGTAATGTATTGCATTTAATCACCATTTGTTATGTTCTTTAACACTTAAAAAATCAAAATTTAAAATAAATAAACTGAATTTTTCTAACAATTAGCAACATGGCTAGTTTCTTCAAGATGATTTCTGCTCACATTACACTAGCAATGGTTCGAGTTAATTGATTTCTATTCCTACATCAAAAAAGGCATTTAGAATGTCATGAAAAGGGCGAATTTGATTATTTGTGAAATGGTGCCACGATTGTCAAAGAGACAAAGTTGAAAGTAAAGCTTGAAAATAATCACTTTACTCAGACAGGAATATGAACGAGATAGTGGGAATTTGTATAATATATTATTTCACGTGAAGTTAATAATCTTTAAGAAGTAAGATATGAAGAAATCAGATAGATGGATGGATGGAAGAGGTGCCGATTTTCACAGGTCACTCCATATGCTAATCCATAGGTGACATTGATATGAAAATGTGTGTTTTTGTTACCTGAGAGCAAATAATGTGGTGTTTCCTACCTTTTAGAAAATTTCCGTGTTTATTAATTAACGCAAATATGGTTATAAATAATAGCACAATTTGTAATCATTTACAATATTCCACCGAAAAATATCGATTATAACGACGATAAAATTGAACATTTTTATTTATAATTCAAAATAATTTTCATGAAATATTAAATTTAATATATGCAAATACTGCTTACATGTTTCAGACCGGCCAAAAGATTGCTTCCTCCAGCATTACGAATGCCCGAGCGAAAGTATTCTTTCAATTTTAATAGTGTGGTTTCATCAAATTTCTGGGGTTCAGACCAAAGACATTTAATTGATGTTCCGAATTCAGCGAAATAAATTGCATCAACTTTATTCCAAAGTTGTTCATCTAGGAGCCGATTTACGGCGCAAATGAAATGGGCCCCTCTTTGGGAAAATAGAAAGATATCTGATGCATCAACAAGAATTCCAACTCTTTTCCTAGTGCCATTGACTCCAAAAATGCGTCTACTTTCCTAAATAATAATAAATAGAAGAATTATTAAATCATAAAATGTGGCTTTTTTTAAAAGTGAATTTGAAAATTTTTAATTTTATCTAAGAGGTAAATATAAATAGATAATACTTTTTAAATATATTACACTTAGCATCCAATTTATTCGACGAATTATATTCATAATGAATGACAGCAGGCGATCTTCGAATTCATAAATTCCTGATAAAGCCGATTCTATTCGTGCTTCATTAAATGATAAAGATTCAATCACCATCGAATTCAGATCGTCTCTTGTAAGGCTCAAGTTCTTAAGACCGTACTTTTCTATCCACTGATCCGCCCTTAGCGGCTTTATAGCTTTATTTTCAATATCATTTCTATTTTGCTCTCCACATGTGCAAAGAAATTCACGACGTTTAGAGGATAAAATCTTCGGTGGATTGAGTTTCATTACTAAATACCATAAAACGAATAAATTATTTCATTGTTTATTATAAATTGAAATAGATAATGCAAGAGTCATAACAAGTAGAATCTCACAATAAAATGATTATGATAAATAAAACGTTTAAAGCCCATTGATTCTACTAAGCCAAAAAAATGAGTTAGAAATAACAGATCTAAGTTTTTTGGTAATGTCAAGGTCAATTTCATTTTGGTGTATATTTACAGTAATTTGTTTGATCAATTGCTTTGGTATATTAAAATTTAATGAACTCTTTCTTCATAGATGCTAAACAAGCTAATTGACATAGATTAATGAAAATTCCAAATATATAACTGATAAAATTATATTATATGCTATGCCATTCTTATTTTTAAGTTTTTTTCAAGAGATGTTTTTTGACTTATTTTGAGTGGTTTTGCTCACTATTAATTAATTCATGTTTCTACCTCGAATAAGGATCAAGCTCTTGACAGTGCTAGCTGTGGTAATTAGGTTATTGTTCCTTAGTGCGTTCGACAGACGTCATTAATTTTTAAACTTCCATCAGCATAAATCCAGTAGTCTACACTTTATCGTTTTCTTCCACGAATAACCTTCTTAATCTGTCAGGCACATGGCCTTGAAAATTAATTGATATTTCTGTGGCCATATTCATTTTGCTATTAGAATGAAGTTCACTAAATTTCTGCAGTACTTCATTTCATTGGTATTTTTCTAATACAGTGTGTTGTAGCAATTCGCTACAGTATTAGTGGGAATCGTTTAAAATGTGAAATAAAAGCACAATTAACACTTAATAAGTTATAAATTTATTGAATATTTGGGTTTATGTAAACTTGTGTGGAAATCGGTTATTATTTTATTTATAACATGCCACACTACTGATTGCGCTCTGACGGACTCTGATTCAATTTTGCTTGCTCATTCACGATAAAGCTGCGAGTTTGGAACTTTGAAGTAATGCGAATTGGAAAGAGGGTAGTAAAATATATATTTCTGAATATTATGCTTTCTTCTGACTTTCAAATTTTTAGCAAACAATGAAAGCCGGTCAATTTGTAATGAGTTTCATAATCAGTGTACCCTATTATATAAGGAAATTTAAATTTATCTACTATTCTTTTAAGCAAAATAAATATTTCATCACTTGCTTACTCAAGTGACACAAAATGATATTGTCCGCCTATTGTATTTCGCGCTTCGCTAAGGCGCATGAAACCGCGTCAATTTCTATCCAATAAAAAGTTGCCTTAACAGTGATGTCTAACATGCACGCATTGAGGGAGGGATTCATAAAAGTTTTATCCCAGTTTTGTGCAGCAGAAGTGCTAAATGAACGAAATCTGTGAAGAAAAGTCCAAAGGCGTCTGGTCTCCCGACATCGAAGAAAGTTTCTTCGAGGCTCTTACAGTGTATCCCCCTTGTGGACGAAGAAAAATTCTACTCTCTGATGAACGGAAGATGTTCGGTAATTTTCCGTACAGAATTTTTTGCTATAAATATTTATCCTAATACCCTGCGTG